ACGCGGGGTCGGGCGGGTTTGGCGGCGAAGCGGCTTGCCCTTCCTGCCCTGCCCTGCCCAGCCCTGCTCATCCCTGCCCATCCCATCCCACGGGTGTCGCGGCTCGGCGGTTTTCACCCGTGGTGCAAATCTGCCCACGTAGGAAACGCAGGCGGGTGTGGCCCCGCTGCTTAAATCCACAGAGGTCTTTGCTTTCAAGAGCTAATGCACCTTAGAGTCGCCTGAATGCTATGCAGGTGACAGGAAAGCTAGGTATGAAAGAAATGTGAGGTGTCTTGCCTTTGCGGGGACACGATGTCTCTGCCCTGAAGAATGGCAGTGGCAGGCTGTGGGGGCGGGGGAAGGATCGCGTTGGTGGGGCCTGCTTGGGCTTGCTGGGTACACATGATGGTTCACTGTAGGCTGGGGAAGGGGATGGTGATGTAACAGTGATGTAAAAATGTGAAATTTGTGTGGAAATCAGGGAGAAGGCAGGTGTGTTTCAGGCACCTGCATCCAGCTGCTGGAATATTCCTGCGCTCCACAGTGGTGATGCAGTTTGTACTGATATTCAGAGTTCTAAGTAACTGTTGTATATGCCCCTGCCACAGTTAGTCCTGAAACCTTCAGGTCAAACCGCTAATAGCTTCTATTACAGGCATAGTAGGTAGCCTTGGTCTTATGTAAAAAGCCAGCCCCCAATAAAATAGCAAGGTTAGTTTGTCATTTTATAAGTATGGTTCCTGTTCATGCATAGCCTGGCTTGAAGCACAGGTTGTATGAGGTTGTTAAAAACTGTTCTCTAAATTCGAAAGTTAGGCCGGTCTTAACTTTAATTGTGAAAAATAATGACAGCTGCCGTTGGTTTCCATGCAGTGTATTTTCATCTCTGTGTCATTTGCTCCCTTTAAGCTTCTACGAGGAACTTCTGTCTCATGGCATCTTGAAACTGCTGACTGCACCCATTGAAGGAATGGTAGTGAAAGAAGGCTCGTGCAATTACATGGCACCCCAGGGCATCTCCTCGGTTGTCAAGTTTTATTTAAAACAGTCAGGTAATTTTTTAGATGCCCTTATATGAAATGAAAGGTTTTAATGATTGTGTTTTTGATGGCATTCTTGAACTGTCTTTCAAATTTAAATCTCCAATGAGAATGTTCAAGTTCCTTGTTTGTTTATGTATGTCTTGAACTTGCTTAGATGGATAAACATGTCTGCGAGCTCTATAAATTTCCAAGTCCTGCAAGCGCTTCACTGACTTCAGCTGCACTGCTGGCATATAAAAATCTCTATACAAATACAATGTCTGTAGGATCAGGAGCCAAGCTTATATTTACACCGCTGGCTTTAGCATATGAAAGTCAGACCTAGCACAATTAGGGCAGAGATAATTTAGTGGCAGTGAGATCATGGTTGAGAAGAGATTTGAGTTGCAACTTGAATGAAGTGAGTGAGTGGGTGTTTTTTCACGAGCATGTACTTAAGTTAACCGTGCTGTTTAACCGAGCAACTGGGAACATAGCAGTGAGCTACATCCTGTGTTTTGTAGAAATGAGCGCTTATGCAGTACGTGAGCCTACTGTGTTGAAACTCCTTTAGAAAAGACTGAAGGAGAAGATCATCTGCTAGTTTAAAGTGTGTAACTACTGCTTTAAGTGTAACGTGGCAGAACCACTTGTACAGTTTAGTGACTAACTAACTCTGGTTTGAAAAATGTTAGCTTTATGAGCAGTCAAGCCTTGCTCCTTTCATGTGATTGTTTTTGTCTTTATTTAATTAGCTGTTTTTTCAGACCCTAATCTTGCAAATAATTAACTACGTTCCTGTCTTCTGATATATGAGAGATGCTAACAGGGCAGCGCTCTCTTTTCCAGTTCCTGGGGGTATGCTTTGGTTGCTTACTCTGTGCTGTCTCCTGCGCTCATTGGATTTCACTCTGAATTGGTTCAGCTCACTAAAGCCACAGTAAACAAACATGACAAAGAGAGCAGCTGGTAATTTTCTCTCCGCTTACTGAGCTGAATCATGTCAGAGAGGAGTCAGATGAATACTAGCCCTAGCACAGGGGAGTGATAGGATCTTTTCAGTTGATGAGGATCCCCTCTTTTAATGTCATATGCTGGCTGTTAAACTGATTCAACCTAATTTGTGAAACTTTGCCCTAAGACTGTCTGTGTGATTTGCTGTTTGCAACTCATCCAGTTACTAAGGGAAACTACTCTGCATTTTCTCTGTGGAATTCACTATTACATATATTTTAACTTCTTTTTCCAAGCAGGTGCAGATGTCTTCTACGAACAGCATGTAACTCACATCTCTCTCCGAGATGGGAAATGGGAAGTCTCCAGGAAAATGGGACCGACAGAACAGTTTGATATAGTTATTCTCACAATGCCTGTTCCACAAATTCTTCAGCTGCAGGGTGACATTGTAAACAGTAAGTTCACACCTCAAAGTCGCAGGTATCTAGCCTAAAATGGCAATTGAGCATCTTGTATAGCAAAGAAACACTCAACAGTCTGAGCTGTCTGTTAATTTCTGCCAGAATAGGGTGAACCTGAAAATGATAGGAGGTAGGTAATTTCAAGGCCGTATGTGTGGCGCATGAGCGGTAACACCTTGATAGCAAAAATATCTAAATAGATGAGTCAATTTTTAATCTGATTTTAATTTTTTGCTGACTTCTAAAACAGGATTTGTCTTTCTGTAACTTCAAAATAGTTATTGAATCGGACAAGAGCCTCAGCTGGTCCCTGCGTGGTGGTTTCCTTGTTGCTATCTCTTTGTTGACATGTCATGCTGATTTTCAGTATGCCCTTGGTATGTCTGCAGTAGGGATGACCCAGGGAGTAAGACTTGAGTAACAGCTGTGCTGTGGGGAAAATCCCTAGGGCATTTCAGTGAGCCTAAAATCACATTAAATGCAGGGGAGGAAAAAGTCCAGATCAGAACTCTTTGGTCTCCAGTTTATAAGATGAAAGCCTCTCAGACCCTCCGGCTTGTTTGCTGTTTCTGGCTGCCCCCTGGGGGTTGTATTCCCTAAACATGAGTAAATCTCGATTATCCTTTCGTCATTTATTGGGGTGAATGTGTTAACAGTGCCATGGAGGCTTAGAAAGAGCAGCTCAGTGCTGAGAAAGAAGTATAAGTTCAGGTCTGGGCAAGTTTACTAGCTTAGGGGCATTGTCTCAGGTGTGAGACTTCCAGGGCCAGCTTTTCTTTGAAGTCAGACCGATAAATCCTGTTCACCAGTGCTAGCTCTGTGCATAGTCAGTGTCCATCCCCAGTGGGCTCCCAGCAGCGTTGTTTCTGGGAGGGCTGGTTAGCTGAGGTGCTGCCAAGCCTGCGAGCAGATTTGGTGTGTTTGCCATGAGACTTGATCTTTGCAGAACAGCCACCGTGAGGATTTACAGGGCAGAGATCTTGGTGCAGCTCTACAGGAGATGGCTCTGAGGGCTGATGCTGAGCAGAAGCCAGGAAGCCCAGCCAGGCCTCTGCTGACCCTGGCAGAGCCATCTGAAGTGTGCTGGGCTGTGGATTTATCACCTCTGTACACTACACTACAGCTGTAGTGTTGTACCAAAGACATGCTGCGTCTGGCTAATAACCTCTCTTTGAACTCAGCATGCTGGCAGCAGTGTAGGGGCATCCATGTGGCAGGAGTCAGTTCTGGTCAGACAGGGCTTGTTGCCTCTCTGCTGCCAGCTCCTGAAGTAGACACTTCAAAATTTGTCAGTTTTCTGCTCTCTGGTTTGTAGAAAAACCACTAGTGCTTGAAAGATGAAGAGCTGACTTTAACGCTTGGCTCCTTGTGCTCTGCTGTATCTTGGATTTTAACGTGTTTAAATACGTGAATGTGATTTGGAAGCTGTCTGTTAAAAGATATCAGAGCAATAGATGGAGGTGGTTAGAGTGAGCTGCCAGGGTCCATCTGAAGTTACTTTATAGTAATCAGGACCTGTATGAGGGAAAAGAAGAGGATGGGGCGGGGGGCAAGAGAAGGATGGATGGCAGCAGGATGTTGAAACTGCAGCAATGTGTCTTATGGTAGCAAATGGAAAATTGATGTCTGATCACGGTAAAGAAGAGAAGTATTTTCATTACAACCTCTTATTTTAAGCTTTGTGCCTAAAGACATAAAGATCCTGTAAGAACATGACTTTCTGCTATTTGTTGTTTTATAAGCTTTCTCATTTCCCCTGTCCCTTTACCATGGAAAGTAATGGTATCCCCACTGAATTTTCTTGGTTAGTGAGTGTGCTCTTTCACTTCATACTCTGAATCGTGTGAGCAGGGTAAACGTATAGACATCCTCTTCAGAACTACATATTTTAGTTTTAATAGCCATGTGTACTGTTCCTCTATATAAAGATAAAATAAACTAATGTTAAAAACATTGACTGGTCACTAACTGAAGCATGGCTTTGCAAGCATTAGAAAGTAAGAGGACAGTGATGTATAACAACTATGATGGGTTGGGCCGTTCCCCTGTCTGCAAGGAGAGACATCATCTCGTTTTTTTTGTTTTGGTTTGGTTTTTTTTGTTAGGCTTATTACAATAACGTAACATGGGATATTGCTCGGAGGTGTTTGCAGTCATGGCTGACTCTCAAGCTACTTCGGTTAGCTCAGCTCATAGCAGATGGGAAACCTCAACAGCCCAAACTGTACAAGCATGTGGGGACAGGTGTAATGAGGTGGCTGTTTGATTGCTCAGTGGTGTCATTACTGGGGTAAATGACTGTGGGTGTGGCCCAGCCTGTCCTTTCTAACGGTGGTCAATAGTGAATGTCCTGGGAACAGAAGAAAAGTAGAAGTAGTGTGTAGTACTGTTTTCTCAGAGTCTTCCTGAGGTTCCTCTAGTCTGCATCTCAAGGCCTTCCTCGATCAGAGTTGATGTCTTTGCAAATTGTTTTTCTTGGGGTAATTAAATCCTTTCATGTCCAAAAAGTGGGCACGTCCCCTTCAGAAGATGTAGTTAAGGTGAGCAGTTCATTTCACTTGCTCTTGGAGTGCTGGAACTGTCAGATGCTTTCCACAACATCCTTTTCTTAATCTTCTGTCTAACTGCAGGATTATCTTTTATCTGAGGGAACTCAGCAAATTCTGTCTTCTCCTCCCCTTCTCCCCATTTCTCTTCCTCTCTCTGTGTGAGACCGGCTTCCAGACTTCTGTCCAATTGTTAATTCTTCATCTCGAGCAACAAGGCTGACTCTCCATACCCTGGAGTTCCTTAGCATTGGAGCTATTGGCTTCTTTACTATGGCTAAGAAGTGAGGGGAAAATAGGTGAGGAGAATGTAAGGAAGGTGTTTCAGAGCCTGAACAGGGTGTAGATTTCAGATCCTTTTTGACTTACAGAGGGTCAGGGTACATCACTGTATCTCTAAATCTCAACCTTATATTGATTGCATGTCAAAGAGCTGAGTTTTGCTGGCAGAGAACAGGGGTTTCCTGGATCCACCTCTCTTGGGATTTAAGATGCAATTGCATGTGAAGCTTAAGGTAGTTAACTGTGGACAGCCGCTGAAAGGAATAGTCATCCTCTCCCCTCCATGCTGACACTGTACTGCTTTTGCCTCCTCTGTCAGCACTAGTGAGTGGGTACCACTCTGGGAGTCAGATCTGCTCCCTGTTTTGACCCAACAGTGACTCTGATGGTGCAAATGAATATTAGTTTTCACTTGGCTATGCAAGCTGATCTGACTTGTTGAGTGACTGCCTGGTCGCTAGCCTTAGCCTGCACATATGCTGAGGCTGCTTCCTTACCCGTGAAGCAGTTCAGTCATCTGTATGCTCTGGTCTTCCAAATCCAGAGGCAAAATTTGGTGATTCTAATGGAAGACATATTTGTGCATTCCTGGTATACAAACTAGCAATTCCAGTTGCTCCTGGACAGGGAGGTTCCTGCTCCTTGTTGCAAACTTCCCCCTTGCTGTCACTCAGGGTGGGAGGAATCATTTTGCTGCTGTGCTCACGCTGCAGCTGAAATGAGGGATGTGCAGAGTTGGAGGAAGGGGAGGGCTTTTTCCTTCTAGCAACAGCAGCCTGTGTGGCCAGCTCAAAGGTCACATGTAACTAATCTGAGACTGCAGGCAAGGGGCTTAAAGTGAAGAGGGGCAGGATTTAGGAGTACAGCTACCTTAATTGCTGATCTTGAAGGCCTTCATTATATCAAAGACAGACACTGAAGCTAAATGAAAGACGTGGCTTGGCACCTTGTGGTAATATTGATCTCAGTCACTGTTGTGATTTGTGATGAGCAGTGTCAATGGAGCGAGCTTTGGCAATTTCCCCAACAGCCCTGTTTTTGACTGTAACTAGCCTTTACTGCACGCCCTCCCTTTGTTTCAGTGTATCATCCCTACTTTGACAGCTTCTTAAATAGAGGCAGCTAGTTTAAAGATCTTCCATATCCTCCATCATTTTCGTCCACTTTTCCTATCTGAGGTTGCTCTATGAGATGCCTTTTCACATCAGTTTTGCTGCACACTGGAGATTGAACTGCTGACTGTGGACCTGCGCCAGGTTCCATTTTAGCCACTTAGGTATAATTGGATCTATCAGTTCAAAGCCGAATGAAGTTTTAAATGGATTTTGATGAGGGATTGTTAGCATTAACGTACAGATAAAGGCTGTAAAGTAAGTGAAGATGCAAAGGAACAGCTGTGTGGAGTAGGTGATGCTTTGATCCATTAATAAGCATTGGAATTAGCCTTTGATATTTGTGCATAAAAGAACCTGAGTTGGAGACTTCAGATGACTAGCCAGAAGTGGTAATTCACCCCTTGCAGGAATTCACCATTTTCCTGTTTGAGCCTTGAGATTGACTCTGTCACATCAGTACTTTCCCTTTGCTTGAGAATATTTAACTGTCTAAATATTGTATTTTTAAGCAGTGGTCCCATAGATGATTACTGTAAACATGGAGCATGTTTCTTTAATAACAAAACAGTTTGGACATCTATGCCTGTGTTTTCAGAGATGTCTCCTGAAATTTAGGCTCCTATATTTGTAGTTGGGTGCTTCAACAAAAGCATCATGCACGTGTGTGTGTTGTGAGTTCCTCTTCATTGCAGAACTAGTATGTGTGCCTACACTACGTGAATGGCCAGCACCTGGCAATCGAGTTACCTTAATGTAGGTGCCTTTAGGTCCAGTGGCTGATCTGCTCTTCAATTTGCAAATGTTAACTTGTATCTTTATTTCAGTGTCTTTAGGACATCTTTCTTTAGACACCTTTAGTATCCTGTTGTAGAAAGCAAATGAGGTGAGGCTTACCAATTTGAAACAGACCAAATTTTGCCTTCAGTGAGATGACTTACTAGTTCTTGAGTTTGTGTTCTGGCTTTAGGAATGAAGACTACTGACAGGGGAAATCACAGCCTACTTGAGGGAGGTCTTCTTTCACCTCCCAAGTTTTTTGAAAATAACTTCT